GGTGTGGGCCTTAGCATCTATACCTACCAGCTCAACTTTATTCCCTCTGGAGAGCACATATGCGAATATGGATTATCTATTCTGGAGGAAGAAGGCCATCAGTGGGCCAGAATTAGATAGGGACCCTTATCCTTGGCTAATATGGTACATTTGGAAGGCTCGGAAGGATAAGTTGTTCAGAGGAATTAATAGAGACCCTCTGGAACTGGCCCGGTATGCGGAGAGTGAGTGTATTGCCTGGTTCCAAGCCAATGAACAGGAAATTGTGACTTCACAAGAAAGCGGAGATGCTGAATGTCAGGTCATAAGCCTACGAGATATTTGCATGATAGACGGTTCTTGGACCTCTATAGATCAATTCTCCGGTTGTGGCTGGGATTGGAAGGATAGCATGGGAAATAGTCAGTTGATGGGTTTGCGTAATGTTAGTAGGGTGGAGTCGGCTTTTCATTCTGAGCTGGAAGCACTGCGGTGGGCAATGGAGAATATGCTTCAACATTCGCCATGTCAGAGCTTTGGGACAGATTGCAAGGAATTGATAGCGATGCTCACGAAACCCCATGGATGGCCAAGCTTTTCGACGGAACTGGAGAGGATCTCGACGTTGAGGATTTGTTTCCCAGACTTCAAGAACATTTATCTACCTAGGTCTCAAAATGTTGTGTCTGATTATTTAGCTAAGACTGCCCGATCCTTCTATCGTGATCTGATGTATGTTGGTTGTTCTATTCCGGTCTGGATTCCCAGACCACATCAAGCTTGAGTAATTGATCAGCCTTTCGTTGTCAAAGAAAAATGTAACGAAATAAAAACATATATATATATATATATATATATATATATATATATATATATATATATATATATATATATATATATATATATATATATATATATATATGTTTATATGTCTGGGTAAAAAAAACGGAACTGAACGAAAATACCAAATCTAGAATCATACCAAAATTCTCAAATATCCGAATGGTTTATATATTTTTATATTCGACATAATCGAACCAAACCAAGAACCGAATGGATACTCAAACATATAAACATATTAATTATATATACATATAACATAACTAAATATATATTTATAATTTGAAAATCTATTAGTAGTATCCAAAAAATAGTTGACAAAAACTAAATTATTATAAAGTATCCAAACCACCGAAAGTTTCCAGATGTTTTTATCCTAAACATCCAAAGTAATCTGAAATATCTGAGATTTTTATCTGAATTATCTTAATTATTCAATATTTTACCCAAAATACCTGATATTTAACCCAAACTAACCAAACCGGAACCATAACCAAATGAGAATCACATTTTCCTGGGTATTTTTTGCTTCTTAGTTTTACTATCCGAATCGAAATGAACTAGTAACTAACGGAACCAAGCCGAACCGTAAATATGTCAAATAGTAAATGGATCATCTAGCCTCGTACCTGAACTACCTGATATTTAAAATATCGGAACCGATATTCAAAATGCTCAAGCCTATATATATATATGGAACAGTTAAATTCCACCTTCATTTATGATTTACAAGAGAAATTTTTTTAGTCCACTGGATTGACTAATAGTTCATTAGTTGACAAAAATAACTAAAAGTTCATTAATATTCCTACACAAGAAATTTTAGAATTCAGACGCTGGCAAAAACTTGCAGGAGATCTCAATATAGTGTAACGAGTACCGCCAAGCATGGTCTCATAAGAAAATTCATGAGGGTCGGTGAAATCGTCTATGTAAAAAATAAATATCGTTTACAAAGTTATAACATAACTATTGGCAAATCCAAATAAAACAAATTCATTCCACAATTTTTATGAATTAAGATGCATAATGCAAATATTGGTATTATATTTGCATGTATTAATGTATGTTTTGGGCTAAGTAGTTAAGTCGTTAACATAAAAATAGATTTATTAAGTGGTGAATCGTAAACAAAATATTCCCAAACACTCTCTACTTTTTTCTCACTTTTTGTTATGACCTAGATTCACTCCAAACTTTTCTCTCTGATTGATTTTGGGTGGTTGTGAGACGCAATCCCTATTTTATTTGTTTCAACCTAAGTTTCTCTTTGTGATTTGACATGCTAAGGAAGGGAGTTTGGTGGCAATTTCAGTTTGAGCTTGTGGTTGGTTTTGTTCAGTCTGGTTGATGGTGGTGGCTCCTTGCAATTCTTGACTCTTGAGGTTTAAGTCAAGTTTGCGCTTCCTCAAGGGTTGTCTTCATCGCCAGAGACTGCCCGCAATTTGGCTATTTCGGTAAACTTCTCGTTTTGAGGGAAGCAGAGGGGCGTGAAAAAAATTTGGAGGTTGCTGATTACAGTGACGGCTTTTGGTCGGATCTGCATGTACTCATTAAGGGATGGAAATGTTGGATCTGGAATGAAGGGTTGAGACTTTTAACCGGAATTGTTTACCCAAACCGGATCCGACCCGAAATGAACTGGTTCGGTTTGGATTCGGTCTTAATCAATTTATCTGATGGGTATTAGTGTTGATTATCCATGGGTATCGGGTCGGTTTTGGTTTTTATCCGGAACCATTTGGGTACCCGTTTACCCACTTTTAATCGGAACCGTTTACCCAAACCGGATCCGCCCCAAAATGAACCGGTTCGGTTTGGATTCGGTCTTAATCAATGTATCTGATGGGTATTAGTGTTGATTATCCATGGGTCTCGGGTCGGTTTCGATTTTTACCCGGAACCATCTGGGTACCCGTCTACCGGAAACCGTTTATCCAAACCGGATCCGACCCGAAATGAACCAGTTCGGTTTGGATTCGGTCTTAATCAATTTATCTGATGGGTATTAGTGTTGATTATCCATGGATATCGAGTCGGTTTTGGTTTTTATCCTGAACCGTTCGGGTACCCATTTAAACCGGGTTCTATGCTTAAAAACACACAGATTTGTATCTTCCGAGGGACGGACCTTGGTTGGATAGGCAACGTGACATGTGAAATGCCACTATGTTACTTCAATTTTTTTGTAATTAACTGCATATTATTAATATATATACGATTCTGATTTATTTTTCCTTAAAAATATTAAAAATAAATTCTTTTATTTTTTAAATTATTTTATTTTGTAAATTATTTTATTTTGTAAATATATATATGATTCACATAATAAACGGATACCTGGAACCGACCTGAAACCGGCAGTACCCAATCCGATACCCGAAAAAAAGTCTGTTAAGTACCTGTTGGATATAGAATTTATTTATCCGAAAGACCTTGAACCGATCGGATCCTACCCAAACCCGACCCGAATATCCGAAGTCTCAGCTCTAGTAAAGGCTTACAAAATTTGCGGTACGGTTTTGTTCAGCCATTTTGTTGACCGCAGTCTGCGTGGATCTGATCCACTATGACCTACTCAACGACGAATCCGCTACAGTACGGGACGAGACGAGAATTGACAACAGGTTTGTCATCCCTAGTCTCATCCTGAATTATTTTCATTTCCCTTGTTTTGAAATGATACTCGTATAGTCATTTTCTGGTAAGACATTCTCAAATCAAGCGGTGATAGTTTTGATAGTAGTAGAAATTTTGTATTCTTGTTGGGATTCCCCTAGTCGTCGCGGCGGCTCCAATATTAATGTAGTTAGGGTGCTAAGTTTCTCTTAGGGTTGAGTTTTTTTGGCTTGTATTTTTTTTTGAGTTTTGTTAAATTAACCTATTTGAAATTTGATTTCTGCATATGTAAAATAAATATTAGTGAAAACTTTTTTCAAGAAAAAAAAGAAACAAAGATAATGGAAGGTATAATACAGCATGCTTCAGTTGGCACTTGGCGGTCAACCACCTCCACTACAAAAAAAAAAAAAAAACATGTATTGCATCACATAAATAGTATCAGAAAACTAAGTGATATTGTTTTGAATTATTTATTAACAAATGATGTAAAATATGCTTTTATAAACTAACCTTTTTTGTAGTGTTCTTTGTGTCTTTTCCTTTTTTCTTCTTTCTGTTTTTCAAAATATTCGTTACGTTTCAGTTTACATGTCATTGTAAAAAAAATTAGTTTCAAAATAAATGTTATTTTATTATTTTCATATAGAATTTATTATTTTTATTGATTGAAATATGGTTAAATGTATAGATTATTGTGTTTTTATTTTAAATATATAAAATTAAATATTTTCTTAAAATGTGTTAAAAAAATTAAAACACGACTCAAATAAAACAGAGGGAATATTATTTACCCATTGTCACATTTCATTATCTAAAGATTAAATATTCTACTTTATTCTAAAATGCTTGAAATTTTATTATTACTTATTACACAACTGTTAAGAAGCTTGTTTTATCTAAAAATAGGATTAAAATATAAATTAAAACTATTTAATCAAATAAAAATAGGTTACAAAATATCATTGGTTATACGTTTGATAAAGATAAAAGTATATTAAATATGACTATATCATCTATTTTGAAATTACATAATCCCTAAATATCATCTATTTTGAAAAGAAGGAATTAATATTTTAGTAGAGTTAAATTATTCATATTGTTAACACACTACACAAAACATCTATCTATATAAAGAATACTTTGCCTCCCTCTTGCTATGCCACATCAGATATTACATCTCCAGCTTGATGACACGTGTATATTTTTCGAATGGGCCTCGCGTTTAAAAATTTTTTTGGGCCTCTGTTTAGTTAAGTCCAGGGCCCGTCTGGGTGTCTTCTCCCCCATCGATAAGGTTTTATGCGTTTCTCGAGCATAGGAGCCGCCGTTGATACTCCACTCCACTCCTCTCTTATTGTCGATTTCGTTTCCTCTTACACCTGTTAATATTGATTTCATTACTGATTGATTACAGAATTTAACACTCTCCCACGATCTATCATCAATTCCCTCTTATCACCCTATAGTTGGTGGAGATGTGTATATATAGAGGTCTGTTCTTCCTATTCTCAGACTCATTCCCATTCTTTTCTCACAAATCTAAATCGTTTTCTGTGGTAATGGCTATGTCTAGGGTTTTCTTTTCCGATCTGAAGTCCGGTCGTTGCTCCTCAACCGTCGAAGTCCACCTCCTCCGGTTCTGGGAGGCACGGAATCCACGCCGTGGAGGGGAGCTGATGTGGATCGATATTTTAATGGTCGATGTTAATGTATGTGTTCTGTTCATCATAAAATCAGACATCACATAAGTTGTTCCGACAGCCTCTCTCTTATTCTCTGACGGTTTTATTAATTTCTTGCCGGCCACCATCATGCAGGCGACCATCAATGCCAGCCGTGTGGGAACTTTCCGGCCAAAACTCGCCGTCGGTAGTATGTACTCCCTGTCCGGTTTTGATGTCGGTCGATGTGGTCCTAATTTCCTAGATGTGAGATCTCTCTCCTTGAACTCATATTCTCTTCAATTATCAATCTATTTTATTCAAAAGCTTGAGTTTTGATGATTTTTGTTTCGTTATATTGATTTAGAAAGTTTTAGTTTAGATGATTTTTTGTTCGTTTATTGATTTTATCCAAGGTTTAAGATGTAAGATGATGCAAAGTAACTCGATATTTACTTTATGCTGTTAGAACTGATTAATCTTTTATATTTGTTGTAATTTGTTTCAACTACTCCTCTCGCAGGCAAAGCTCGTCCAAGGATCAATCACCGTTTACCGTTTTAACTCCTTCTGACATATCTTGCGAGAAGGCTCGGTTTATGAGTTAAATGGTTTTGATGTTCCGAGAAGCAATCCAACCTTCGAGTTTGCTGACGCAGCCGTTACAAAAATTAAGGTTACGGAGACATGTTTTGGGCAGAGGAGGAGGGGACACGATCTCTTTTGGAAGACTCTTCTCTTATTTTTGAGGCTATGGCTCAGGAAGAAGAGTAGCTGCTCAAACTTCGGGAAGATGGGAAGAAAGCCAAATGTGATGCGTCCAGTGAAGCTACTGATCTGAATGATGCAGGGGAAAACAGTTCGTGGTTTACTGATTTAGAAGCAAAACATGAGATTCTTGAACTTACTATTTTTGTTATTTCGTGCAGCTAAGTTCAGTGTATATCAGGCCATGGCATCCAATGGTCAGCATTAGCAGGCTTCCTGGAACGTGTTAAGGCCCTAACAGATGTTGTTTCTAGGTCTATGGAAGCCAGAGAAAGTCTGGTGATATCCACAACAGGAGTTGCTATACAAATATTTTGCAGCTCATGCCTGAAGTATGATAAATTTCGATACATTTCAATGAAAGTTATCATTTGTTCTATGTTCTCTAACTATGTCAATTTTTTCCTAAATATCAATCACTGCGGGTTACTTATGTAGGCGAGAGGGGAGAGACAGCAGATGCTAAATCTTCTAAGGTCTTCTACTCTATTCTTCTCAAAGGAGGTAGCAAGTTTGATGAGGTACGAGAAAATTGCATGCTGGTTATAAGTTTGTATATATGTCACTCTTCTTGATGTGAATATTCTTTCATAGTTAGGAAATCTAACGTATCAATCTTCCTGGTACACCAGCTAAAATTGGTGAAGGAAAGCGTGAGAATCAAAACCATGCTATCATACTATAGATATGAATCAAGTATGTGTTACTCTTCTTCATTCTCATAACTATAGATTTAATTATAGTATCCTCATGGTTAGTCTCTCTGTGCAGGACAACTACTTTGAAGAAGCTTTCAAGTTAAAAAAAAAATGTGTTGGAGATGTTAGTCGCAAGCCAACAATTTTGGGTCTCAGAGAACATATATTTACGGAATGTATAACTTCCTCGCAAGATATCAGTTTCTAAGACATGTCTAATCATGAAAGTATCAACGATGTGCATGTTTGTGTCCTTATGTTTCTCCCTTTCTTGGTAAAGTTTAAAGTTTATGTTTAAATAAGTCTGTCCAGAACAACGCGACTGCACCTGCATATATGTTTTTCTCGCGAGGCATGTTCCACAGTATGTCAGGGTTGGTAAGGTAACTACCAAATAGCCATGGACGGTGATCCATGTCAGCGACCATGATGGCTTGAACGCATCCTTCTAAGAGCAGAAATCGAGTGTTGTTAATACAAAATTTAGTATACATATGTTAGGATAATTTGTTGAGTGATCTATGTATATACATCACACGTAAATATATTTAGTCTTCAAATACAATTACATGTATAACACCTATCTAATATGTATATTGTTATATAATAAAAATTAATATTAAAAATATACCATAATTTTAATTATTTATAAATTTTCATCCCGCCTGTAGGGCGGGTCGGCCCTAGTACCGTATAATGTAATTGTGGGTCTGTGGCCAGATGGATATTAACTATCTTATAACCAAATTGTGGCCAATTGGATATTAACTATCTTAACCAAATTCCAAATTACAACTTAATGAGAAGAACTTTCATATTCTTGGTTGTAAGAAAAAAAGTCATAGTAGAAACGAATATGTTATTTGAAAAAAAAACTTAATAGTTTTTTTTTTACAACAAAAGACTGATCTATTACTCAAGCTTGAGGTGGTCTGGGAATCCAGACCGGAATAGAACAACCAACATACAACAACTCTCGATAAAAGGATCGAGCAGTATTGGCTAAATGATCGGACACAACATTTTGAGATCTAGGTACGTAGACAATCTTGAAGTCTGGGAAACAAATCCTCAGCGTCAAGAGTCTCTCCAGTTCTGTCGAAAATCTTGGCCATCTATGGGGGTTTGCGAGCATCGCTATTAATTCCTTGCAATCCGTCCCAAAGCGCTGACATGGCGAATGTTGAAGTATATTCTCCATTGCCCACCGCAGTGCTTCCAGCTCCGAATGCAAAGCCGACTCAATCCTGTTAATATTGCGCAAACCCATCAGCTGACTTCTTCCCATATTGTCCTTCCAATCCCAGCCACAGCCTGAAAATTGATCTGTAGAGGTCCAAGAACCGTCTATCATGCAAATATCTTGTAAGCTTATGGCCTGACTATCAGCATCTCTGTTTTCTTGTGATGTCACAATATCCTGCTCATTGGCTTGAAACCAGGCAAGACACTCACTCTCCGCATACCAGGCTAGTTCTAGAGGGTCTCTATCAATTCCTTTAAACAACTTATCATTCCGAGCCTTCCAAATGTACCATATTAGCCAAGGATAAGGGTCCCTGTCTAATTCTGGCATACTTATGGCCTTCTTCCTCCACAACAGGTAATCCATATTCGCGTATGTACTCTCCATGGGGAATAAAGTTGAGCTGGTGGGTATAGACGCTAGGGTCCACACCTGTAATGCCGGTGGACATTGAAAAATTGCATGTGCAATTGTTTCTTCCGGTTCACCGCATCGTGGGAAAAAGTTATCACATCTAATGTGTCGATGATTCAAAGCACTCGTTACAGCCACATGGCCTGTTATGACCTGCCACATAAGATGGCACATTTTCGGGGGTGCTTTAACCTTCCAGACATGTACTTCGAGTTTTGTGGTGCTAGGTTCTCCCACAACATTATTCTCTTCCTTCAGCAATACATTTCGAGCGACCCAATAGTCGGATTTGACTGTGTACTGACCATTCGTTGTGTAACTTCAACAATGTGTGTCTCTGTGATGTGCTGAGCTAATAGCCATACTCCTTATGAGAGGTATGTCATTCGCGTCAACATAATTCTCCAGCCGTTCCAGGTCCCAAGATGTTGTCTCTTGATTGATAAGATCACTCACTCTCATGTTCGGATGCAAAACCGGAGCCGATGCATGCGCTGGCCTTGCTGGGATTGTGGGAATCCAAGGGTCCTCCCATACTTTGACTTCATAGCCTGAATGTATTTTCTGTCTAACCCCCAGTAGCAATAATTCCCGTGCAGTCGAGATGCTTGTCCACACATATGATGAGCTACTAACAGTGAGCTTCCGCAAAGGCGAACTTAAACGGTAATATCAACCTCTCATAACTCGAGCTACCATGGAATCTGGGCTTTGTGCTAAACGCCACAACTGCTTAGCCAGAAGCGTCAGGTTAAACTCATGGATCATCCTAAAGCCAATACCCCCTTCCTCTTTAGGTAAACATAACTTATCCCATGTTGACCAGAGTAAGCCTCTTTTTGGTGGGTTTGAGCTCCACCAAAACTGTGCAATGGCACTAGCCAACCAGGATAGACTTAATCATTACTTCCTTTCCACCTTTTGATAACCACCTTCCCGTCCATCCATTCACTCTATTCCTAAGCATGTTCTTTAAGAAGGCAAAAAGCTTACATTTGGAGCCACTGATATCTTCTGGTATCCCTAGGTAAGAACCCATCCCTGCTTCGCTTTGGATCCCAAGTGTATCTTTGATCTCATGCCTGACCTCTTGTCTGATTCTCTTACCAAAGAGTAGAGATGACTTGTCAAAATTAATGCATTGTCCAGAAGCTTGTCCATATTTTCTGACCACTTTCATTACTTCTTCACATTCACGGGGCTCCGCCTTACAAAAGAAAAGGCTATCATCAGCAAAGATCAGGTGGAATATCGATGGACACGCACGCATGATGCGCATCCCCGTTATCTTTCCCTGGTTCTCTGCGTGATTAAGAAGGCTAACGAGCGCTTCCGTGCATAGAATAAAAATGAAAGGGGACAGAGGATCCCCCTGTCGTAAACCTCTCTCCGGGACAATATTCCCTCTTGGATGTCCGTTCATAAGGACCTTGTACTTTACTGAAGTTACGCATCGCATAATCAAGGTAATCCAGACTTCTGAGAAATCCATCTTCCTCATAGTGGCCTCAATGAAAGACCATTCCATTCGATCATATGCTTTGCTCATGACTGCTTTGATGTTCATCCTCTTATTTCGTCCACTTGATTTTGTTTTTAAGGAATGGAACAATTCTTGGGCTACCATTATGTTGTCTGATATCATTATAGTTTATTGCTAGTGACTTATATTAGAAAATTCATTTTTTTGTATAGAGAGTTTAAAAAGTATTCCTTATAAATATGATTTTAGTTAGTTAATTAATTTTGTTTTTCTTCTTAGTTACCAGGTACAATTTCCCATACAAATATGCAATAGAGTATCTAAATAAATAATAAATTAGGTGTTTTGTCCACACGTACAGATTTAATAATTTTACAAATATTTATAAATAAATATATAATCAATTAGATCTTAGTTTACTCTTTATGATGTTGTAAAAAAAAAATTTAATATACATACACTCAAAATATTCAATAATAAACTACACTTATTTCTATATATAAAAATTTTCATCATAATATAAATAATTTCCATTACATAAATTAAATTGAAAAACACTCATGTCGGTTTTTTAGATATGACAAAAATTTCAATATAGTAAAATTATATTTTATTACGTAAATTTAATTTGAAACCTTTTATATACGTAAGTTATATAGAAAATATATATATATATATGGATTTATATTTTTATTTTTAAAATAAGATGTAAAATAATGTTTTAGATAACAAAATATAAATTATTTTTATATATAATTATCAAATCAATAAAATTTGTTTTTTTGTTTATAATTAATTATATATTAACAAATATACCTGTTTTTCAAAGCTGACAACGACTATAAAACAATAAAACAATATGGATAAGGATAATTATCAAATTAATGATTAAAAAACCAAATATAATTAATTATATATTCACAAGTATAATTTTTTCAAGGTTAAAAAAGACTTCTTAACACAATATAAAATATTTTTTGATAAGGATAATTCTCACATCATTGAGATTCGATTTTTGTTTATGTTTAATTATATATTGAAATTTTTAATTAGTCATTAAGAATACAAACAATATTAACCATTCTAACTTTTAACGTGAGAGCTCCGTTGGAAAAACAAAATCATTTTGTAAATAATAGTATTATTTTTGAAAATTTTTAATTATTTATTAATGGTATAAAAAATATTAACCAGTTTAAATTTAACGTGAGAGTTTCGTTACAAAAAATCACTTTGCAAATAACAGTATAGATAATTAAAAAAAAAATGGATATCTCAAATTTTAAAACAAGCTTTAGTAATTTTGTTTTTTGTTTTTGTAGTACTCACGTTTTAAAATGTATATTTAATATTAAATTATTATTTATATATATATATTAATTTAAATAT